CAGAAACAACTTCCTTGATCTCCATATAGAGCACTACAGATGAGAGAATTCAAAATAATTGCATGGGTATCATTTGGTAGCAGGCTAGGCCTTCACACATGCAGTTACCCTGGCTCTCGGCTTTCCTACAGAACCAGCTAGACCTGGGCCTGAAAGGCTGGGTAACAGTGCTAATATTTCAATCCAGTGCAGTCTCAGGTGCAAAGACTGTATGGGCCAAATAGGCCACTACACAGAGAAATGTTCCAAAAATCACATGGGCACCTATAGCAAGTAGGAGGAAAGCATCTGTCAGTTTGTCTAGAATAACAAACCCTGTTACAGCTATTCTGCATCAGAAACCAAACACAGTTTGGGGGTCTAAACTCACAGTCTCTGACTGAGCAATTTCATCAACTGTACCAGATCAAACCAGTAAATCACTAGCAATCAGGATTCAATTAATCCTTACTCTCTCCAACAGTAGAGAGGGGGGAAATATTAAACTAGGTGAATTAATCTGACTCGGATCAACTATTCCTATATTTTGCTTTCTTTGAGAAACACGTTTAAGAATATGAAGAATGGTGGCTGGCATATGCAAACACAAATGTTCACAACAGCCTTCAGTTGCAAACTGAGAGCAGTGATTTGTCACCAAGGTGTTTGACAGTAAGCAGTTTAATTTTGTCACTAGAAAATTCAACCTGTAATGACATTACCTATTAAAAGAGAAATCTTTAGCCCTTTAAATGTCATAGAAGTGTTTGAGGAGCAAAATATTATGAAATATAGCCCTCGAGAAGGTTAAATGATCCTGGAGACAATGTTTGCTTCTCATGGAAGCCTACTTAAAGCAGAAATCAAATTAAACAAACCTCCTCTGATAACATAAAGCTGAAGAACTGCATGGTGAATTTTATATACATAACCTTTTTTTTTAGTGAGCATGCTGCATTTACGCTGTAAAGCCTCAGTCAATCATATAGCATGTATCAAAGAACAACTGCAGTGTCCTCTGCAAACATATAAACATTGGACAGTCCTGAGGGCACAGACTTAAGGAATGGTAACCAGCAGCTTCAAACCAGGTCCCAGTAGTTGGGCTCATGGATGTAGCTGACTTTTCACTAAACATGATCTTTGTGAAGAGTACAAGCATGAGACAACTATTTAGGCACTATCCTGAATTAATTTATAGTGTCAATTCACAGGCAACAAGTCCATCTAGTGCTCTGTGTACCTCTACCACTTACATGCCTCTGTTCCTGTCCTCAAGCAAGCAGAGATCTGAAGGCAGCTAATTTCTGCAAAATACTAGAGCCCTAACTCTCCTTCCCCTATCTACTATCATTTATTTACAGCCTGACAAATACAGTCCACGTTTGTCTAAGATCACTGCTGAAGTCTTTTATTATTTCTTCCAGGGCACAACAGAGAAGCATTTTCATGCAATGTACCATTTTATTTCCAGTATCTGAAGGGGGCTTACAAGAATGCTGGAGATGGGCTCTTCGTCAGGGACTAAAGCAACAGGGCATGGGATGATGGCTTCAAGCTTAAACAGGGGAAATTCAGGTTAGACATAAGGAAGTAGTTCTTTACTGTGAGGGTGCTGAGGCACTGAAACAGGTTGCCCAAAGAAGTGATAAATGCTCCATCCCTGGCAGTGCTCAAGGTCAGGCCTTGGGCAACATTATCTAGTGCGAGGCATCCCTGCCCATGACAGGGGGGTTGGAACATGATGATCTAATGATCCTTTCCAACCCTAACTATTCTATGACTCTATGTTTTATACTGATGCACATGAGTACTTCTAAGAGTAAATGGTACAATGATACAAGTTCTTTAAGCAGGAGGAGTCTAATACAGCTTAGCAAAACATGAACTCCAGGCTATAAGGCAGAGATATAGAGGAATACTTTTCTTTCTCCAGCATTTCTGTGACTATTACCCTAGACATCGAACCCTGATATTTTGGAAAGCACAGTTAAAATCTTGTAACATATTTCAGAATGAATAAAAATGCCTCAATCTTCAACAATTCTATTATTTCCTTAAACCCTCTGTCCAATTCTACATTACTAAAGCTCCATGTGTCTTATTACCTCTATGAGGAGGTTGAAGGACCATTTCCTTTCACCAGGAACTCCTCGGATGTACAAATACCATATTCCATTTATTCCGTACTCAGTCGGGAGCAGTACCAAGGAGGAGGAAACTCTAATTTCCTTGAAATCTTTAAGCCATATTGTACTCCTCATACCTTTAGTAGGGGAAGTCTCCAACTGAATAAGAGCTTTAGTTAAACACACTAGGTGTTAATTTCTGATGTCTCCAGGAAAATATCCTGTATTTCCTAGAGTAGGACATTTATGCTCATACTATTTTAGAAAAGCTTATTCAAGGAAAAACAGCAAGAGCGTGGGGAAGACATTTAACATACTACTGCTTTTTCCAATTAAATATTGTGAATATCCTTCAGCTAAATGCCTTTTTTCAGTTACTTAGCCATGTGGGATGGTGAAAGCAATAGCAATTCTTAAAGAGCAAGCGTGAAAAAAGAATAAAAGATAAGAAAAAAAACATTTTACAGTAGGTGAAGTTTTACAGATTAAATATGACTCCTTATGGAGTTTTTCCTACTTGTGTTTTATACTGGACACAAAGTAACAGTGGTCTTGAGAATGAACTACTCATCGTTATTAACAACCTAACTGGGAGTTTAAATGGCATATCTGCAATGAATTATTCAAGAGCTTTATGAATTGACTACTGAACTTTTAATGTTTTACCACAGTATTGTTCCACATTGGACCCCCCCATCAGCTAAACAAAGTGAAATATTACTAGTTAAAGTTTAGCTATTATGTCAAAATTGTTTTTGATGAGAATATGAAATACCAGCTTTTTGAAAGCATGGGTTTAGGTCAGATAAATAAGGGCTAGAGAAGCAAAACTCCCAAGAACTGAAGTGTGAATATTACCCTGTGGAAATGCAATAAAGCAATGGAGAAAAAAGAACTGTTGCACTGGAAATGAAAGGAAAAAAAATTAAATGCATTATGCCAAGAAGTGTCTTTCTAGCTAAAAATCCCATTCAACTTGCTCTCAAAAACATGTATGAAACAGCAATCAAGTTCTTCAAATGGGAAGAAACTACATTTTTCAGGAAACAATTATGCCATAAATAATCACAGATGCATTTGAACATATTTATCAACTTTCATGAGTCAAATTAAAATGTACCAACAGTTCATTTTAGTGAGGGCAATATTCACTGGTATGTTTTCCTATAGTTTTTCTGTGAAAGCACATTACTAGCAAATATCAGTTAGAGAGCAGCTACTATAATTTTCTTACAGGTGGTGTTTCACCTGGAAAGGCATTTCTAACATGCTGCTCACTGGAGAGAGCAGCAGTTTGAAGGTGCCTCTATTACCTTGCTGGTAATGGGTTTACCCATCTAATTCTGAAGTTATGTTCTTTCACTAATGCCTAGTCACTACCTCTTGGAGAAAGAAGTTGGGTTTCAGTCTTGCCCCATTCAGTGTTTGGTCTGAGGTTGGAAAGTGTTCCTTTCAATATGTAAATTCTTACTTTAAGTAAAAATTATAGTGGTTTCTCCTAGATCTATTGTCTAAGTCCACTGTGCCACAGTCCCCCATGTACTTCAAGACCTGCGTGAGTTTTGATAGGAAATCCAGGCCCAAGGAGAAGGTAATTATAATGCAATCCCAGTAGGTACCCTCCTTGTGCACAGTACTTTTCCCCCCCAACCCCCCCCAAAGAGATGCCACACTAATGAATGAGCAAAAGGAGGTAAACAAATTGAGTTTTTTTATGTTAAAATGGAGCTATGTACATTAAGAACTTGTAAAAATTAGAGTGCTATACAATATTTACTGAGATGTTAAAGAACTTTGCAGTAGTTAGCAAGGAGAGGGGATTTTTTTTTAACCAATTCATGTTCCTCAACTCTGGAATTACATGGCTTGGGGACTATTTAATTTCAAACTGCTCTACTTTGTAACATATAGACTAAAATGGCCTTCATTTTAAATATGATTCTTGTAAGAGAGTCAAGCAGCAATGGAAAAGAGATGAAAGATGATTCATTTAAAACAAAATGAGATTGGAAAAGTTAGCTTTTAGCAAGCTAAGACCGTTGTTCTAGGCTGTCTGTTTCAACAGGTCTGTTCTATGTTGTTATATAATATGAGAAAATATAATTCAGAGAAACCAGCATCACTATACTTAAAAGTTAACTAATTTCTGAGGAATGGTCCTGCTTAATTGAACCAGGCTATACTACTGATGTCACTTATATGGAACTTGCGATACCAGGACCAAAGTGATCTGCTACTATATTTGTCTATAAAGGATGCAGTATTTAAGTAATAAAATCATGTATACACAAATCAAGTGACTGTTCATGGCTTAACAGATACACATCTCCTGCTAATACCCATAAAAGCCTCATTTGATTGATGAAAGAGTCATTCTAATAGACACAGCTAAAAGATCAAGAGCAAAAACACTGTTACATTTGCTTCACATTGCTTCAGATACAGCATGCCTATAACAACTTTTATTATGTAGCATACAAGGATTCACTTTCTATATTAATGGGCAGGATACTTTCTTCCCTAAGTTGATAACATGACATTTGAGATCTGATTTAATGGTTTAGAGCTAGCACATGCACATACACATATGAAGCAAAAGTTAAAAATGTTGAGGATATGAAAACGGTCAAAAATGAGAGCAAGATACACTAATGACCACATTAAGACCCTGTGGATTTTCCCTCCCAACCCTGTTAGAATTAGAATGAAAATACAAGCCCCGTTTATCTTAAGTAAAAATAATAAATGGAAAAATAACCCAGTGCGAAGACCAAGTTTCACAGCTAGATTAATGTAGTGATATGAAGTTCATATTCTTTTGGAAGACATAAAGACATCACTGTAGAAAACATCTCTGTAGAGGAGATGTGGAAGGGAAATCCTACGTTCATGAAGCGTTCACCATGAAAGCAGATGTGATTTTGCTTTACAAATGTCCTATTTAAAGCAGAGAGAATGTGATGTGGAATGTCTCCTCAGAGCTGAGCTTGTTAAGTTGTTATAAACAGAATTGGTGTCAGTGACTCCATAGTCACAAAAGAGTATATTCTCATGACTTGCAAGATTCCCCAAACTAAGTTTTCTGTAGAAAGTGAGAATTCTAGAAATTGCAATAGCATTTTTAAAGGCATCTGAGCAATAGTATCATTTCCCATCACAATGGGTTTGTGGAACATTACACAGGCTAAGCAAGTCAACTCAAGTAATAAGAAAAAAAGTTTCAACATCACCAGAACTAAATTAATAATTTTAAGAGATAAACTTGGATGTATAATTTCTATTTTCATGCTGTTAAAAGATATAAAAACATCTTTGGATAACCAACCATACCTCTGCAGGCCAGGTCTGAACTACTGACGCCTGAAATCTGTGGAATGAACTTTATCTGCCTCGAAGCCTGAACACTCAAGTAAACCACTCATGTTTTGCTTTAAAAGGAATTTGCATGCTGGAATTATGGTGGGTTTGTGACTTAATCTGATTAACAAGAAATCTTAAAAGAAAAGTAGTATCAAAAAGGATCTAAGCAACACTATAATAAAATAAGAAGCAATTTGAAATACAAATTTCTTTAAAATTATTACTCAGACCACCTTTAAAAATGTACAGGAAACTGAAAATCTAAGTATCTAGCAACATTAAGGAACCTTAGAAGACTTAGCATTAGGTCTAGAAAGATAGTTCTCCCCTCAACAAGATGTTTGTACATTAACATTAAAATAAAGATATTTAACAGCAGCTGCCTAATAATCCACCATAGTGTTGCATATCTGAGCTTGCTTTAAGTACTTTCAGAAATCTCTCATCCTAACAGCTGTGTTATTTTGGTTTGTAATTTGTTTTTGTGGTGTTTTTTTGTTTAAGTTTGAGATGGCTATTTTTAAAAAACTTCCCTGTAGACACACACAAAAAAATATTTCCTTATCTCTCCCTTTCAGGCAAGAGGAAGGAAAAAAATTCACTATCTCTATTATCCTTTCCCTTTTTCTCCCCCTCTCCTTCATTCCCCATTTCATTTCTAACTCCATGTTCATGGTCACAAGTTTGGTGCACAAACTTCAACCGCACGTTAGAGCATGTGGAGCCCCTGCAGACCATCACCCCTGGCTGCTTTCTTCACATCCAAGAAGGAGGAACAATCAGGAGCAGAACCTATCAGTGCCAGGAAATTCCTTGTGTGAGCATCAAGAGGAACAAGGCTGCAAAGCAATTTAAACTAAGTGCTCTGTGTCCAAATCTGACATTTGTTTTTATTACTGTCACTTGGTCTCTGATAAAGGGCAGCAATAGATTAGAAATGACACTATCAGCACCATGGTAGCTTTCTTTTTTTTTTAGAAGTGATGGCAATATGGGACAACATCAAGAAGGAATTTTAATTCCGTACCGATTGAAAGAAATAAGAATTGCATGTCAAGCTATCTGGGAAAGAAGAAACCGGTAGACATACAACTTAAACAATTTTCAAGCAGAAGGAAGGGAGTGTCTTTATATCATAAAGCTCATAAGCTTCAGAAAACTTCATTTACAGTCACTGTGCTTTCACACAGTCTTTAAAGCCATTGTATTGTGTTTTATTTGGCTTTTAAGGGAAGAGTTTTTCATGCAGTCCCATTCAATTACATTGATGTTGAATTTGTTTTGAATAGTAACCAGGTATACAAGGCCAGCTGTAGATATACATTAAAGATATCCACTTCATTATTTTTTTTATCATCTCCGTCCTTTGCTTTGCCAGAATAAACTTATTACAGTCACTTTGTTCAGGTTACAAGAAAGCACAGGCAAGATTAATAAAAATCAGAATAGCTCTAGATTTAGTGAACTTATCACTCTCTCCCCACCCCCATCTTCTCCCCACCCCCATCATAATGCCAATAAAGTTGAGATTAATCACCATGAGATCTCATACAACCATGGGCCAAGTGCTGTGGAGAAATCTTTTCTGCCAGAAACTCCAACTGTGAAAATTTCTTTCCAGTAAGACATAATATAATCTGGACTATTGAATAATTACTTGCCTGAACCATGTTTTATGAATGCCCATCTACAGTGTCATAACACAATAGAAAGGATCTAAAAGATGCTATAAAACGACTTTCATTAAGTTGTTCTTCAGTTTTTTGCTAATATAAATCAGGCCTAGGAATGAGGTCCCATACAGTTCAAATACAGCAAAGTCTTATCATCTCCTTTTAAGCACCAGGACCCCAACTATTTTGTTATACTTTTCCACTGGGCACTTTTAATCACTGACAGCACTATTTAATATCAACTTTAAAGTTTTGTTAATTAGAGCATCTCTTAAGAGGTATAACCACCACTTGGGTGCTGTGAATTGCAAAGTACTTTACAGATAATACTTCTCACAGCATATCTTCAAGTAACTCTTACCTGATTCTAAGCTTTAGATTTTATGCTGCATGACCACGTTTGCAGGTAGTCAGTGTCAACTTTCAGATTACATGTGAATTTGGAATTTAAATGATCTTAAATTATCTGAAAGTCCTTAGTTTCTTACAGCTAGTAGGTTTCCTTCCTTGCTGAACACACCTAGAAAACAATTTTTGTTATAATGGTTATGGGATCATTAGAAGAACAGGTGCTGCTTCATTTAGAGCTAATCAAAGTGGGTTTGAATGCGATTTCCAAGGAAAGTAGAGCTTAAAGGCAACAGCTTAGAATTTATAGGAAAGAATAGGTTTGATCAGATTGCAATGACCACATAGTCACAAAGCTGCCAACCATGACATTTTATGTACGTAACATTTGAGATTGTTATGTAAGCTCTGCAATAATATACAGGATTAAATTGTAAAGTTTTATTCCCATTATGCTATCATAAATGTTAAGAGAGGAACTGTATTGTGGCTGCTTGTCTAGAATTCATATTTTGCCTAGAATCGTTTTACTTCACTGTTTGTAATTCACAGCAAGGTTTAGCTGATATATGATATTATATTCAACCTTAAGAAATAGGTTCTTTGAAACATACAGAAAGCTACCCTGAAAACAAAGCAAGCTGATTCCCAAACAGCTATATTTTTGAGAACCACTGTGAAGTAAGTGTGAAATCAATGGTATTATGCTGTCCTAACCAGTTTAAGCAGTGTTCTTCATCATCTTGGGTATCAGGAACATAAAAAATAATTTATTAAAGATTAGAATTACTGTAGTTGGGCATTTCTGTTGCCGTAAAAACGTGTTTAATTTATCTGCAGCTCCACAATTAAAACCCAGGTTTTAGACAGTCTGTGAATGTTAGGGTATCTTGAAAACATTTTACAGGTAAATCCTTTTCAGCATGACTCTGTGAGTGGAAATAATTACCTTTATTTAATGGAGGAACAAGCTGCAGCACAAAGACCCAGTGACTCATCTGTCAGTTAAGTGCCTAGATACGATGGGGATGATACGAGAACAGAGAAAAGGGAACAGAGTGTCCAGAGCAGATCACGTCATTTGCAGCTAGTTTTCAGTACATTAATCTCATCTCCTTTCTATATTTAATCTTTCATATATTTGTTCTGTTAACCATTTTCCATGCCTATGCTACAAATGCTACTCAGTCACTTCCCATAAATGTGCATCTTCCATCTGCTTCCCTCCCTTATATATGACACTCAGTTCCCCCTCTTATCCAAATATGTCTTATACTGGTGTGGCCTGAAATCTGCAAATGTTTTCAGCTCCCTCATTTGCTCTGAGCTTCCATTCTCAGTGGGTCCAGGCAGTCAGGATCCTTTTCATTTCCAGTAGCTCTTAGAAAATCAGTTGAAGAGAGCTATACATTGAAAATGGACTCTGCAGTTTATTTGCTCCTGAAGGATGTCTATTTTCTGCTAAGCCTATAGGACACAAACCTGAAGCAGAGCTCTGTTCTCCACCTGCTTGTATTGATTTCTCAAAGCTTTCACATATATTAGTGATCTTCAAAATACTTCTTTTGTGTAGTCAAAAATTCAACATTTTCTAAGTACTCTTTTTCCCTTAGTCACTAAAAATTTAGACCAATTAGACGCATAGCTCAAATTTTGCACTCAAATACCTGAAAGACGGCCTCTGTCTAATGGTACAGAGTGGCACTGAATATCACCAAAATCAAAGAGACCTTCATATGCAAATACTCTGAAAAACAACCATTAATATTAATTTCTGCTTCCAAGTATGTATTTCACAGTCTAAATTTAGGAACTCGGGGAGATGGGACAAAGTCAGAAATCAGCTTGGAGGATGTACACCAAATCCCCTGTGTTTCATACTGCATTACCAAGATCAATCTTGTTGCCACCTCTTCTACTTAAATATAGTAAAGATTGCTATGCTTATGTTAAAGATAGTTTCAAAGAGACTCAGGCAGATTCCCTTGCCAAAAATCAAGTCCATGAAGATGAAAAAGTCCTTTTGTTCTGATGGATAATCAGAGATGAAGTTCCACATAATACGTACTTCCTACCTGAAATACACACTAAATGACATTGAACTGCCTCCTACTACCCAGTTCCGTACCTACTTAAATTCTATAAAAGCACTCTGACACCCAGAGAACACAGGGGTAAACATATACTCAAAATATGTTAAATCCTCCTCCTCTTCAGATGCCTTACTTCTTTGTCTGCAAAGAACTGTGATACCAGTAAGATCACAACAAACCTGTTCTTTAGACTTACGGGATCCTTGTATCTTTTTTGAAGACTCTTCTTTCTAGATATGAAGTTCTTTAAAACTCAGCAAGATACTTTGTTTTCTGTGAGGATAGTATGACCCCAATGTTTAACTAGCTGAGATATTACTTTGCATGGTTTCATCTAATAATTATTAAGTAGACCAACTTATTTTCCTTTGATAGAAGTCTACACTCTTTCAGCATATTATTTTTAGTCCTGCTTGACTTCAGAAAAACAGTATGCATATGAAATATTAACACTTTACAGGTGCTGGCTTCGTACAATTCTTCTAAGGCACTGGGTCCAGCATTGCTTGGCAGAAGCCTACACAGATCTCTCTGTCCTTGTTCACAGGACAGTTCCTAAAATATCAGTCATATTATAATCCAGGCAAAGCAACAGACCAACACTAGACTGAAAAGACTAGTGTCCTGTGCTGTATGGATACTTCTAGAAATTAGCAAAGCAACAAATACTCAGAACGGCTCATGATCTAGAAGACCACTGAAGACCAACATAAGCAGAAATAAATTAACTTGCTCTTAAGCTTTTATTTAAACTCAAAATGGTAGCAACACCCACCATGACAGCAGAAAAAAGATCACTATATAAAACAACCATAATTTCCTTCCAAGAAATATCTATTGCATCACCAGTGTATCACATCTCCTAGTTTTAAAATACTTCCCTGCAGCTTTACATTTCATTATACTGCAGTGAAGAAATCCCCTCCTGCAGTAACTGTAATGGTTATTAGTATATTATTTGGGCAATTACTAATGTAATGGTGTCATGGTTCTTAAATCAGGCTTCTGAAACTATGAGCAATGCATAGCAATAACTCTTACATCCTCCCTCAGCACAACATCATGTAGTTATAGAAAAATTCATGGAGATAAGTGGAAGTGAAATCTCTTATGTATATTACAGTCACATATACAACTGATTTTAAAAGATTTACTTAATCATGAGTGTTTTTTTAGAGAACATGGACAAAATTCTTGCTTTAGAAAATCCTTATAACCAGTAGCCATCAATTGGGTTTTACTAAAACCAGGCAAATAGTCTTTTTTCCTATGGCTAGGAAGATTCACCCTCTTATCCTAAAGCACCTATTGCAGACTGACCCCTGGTTTAGTGGAGTCCATATACAGTTCGCTGGCAAACTGCTTATTTTCAAGACCTGCAGTGACATATCCAACCTCCCATCCTAAAGCCAACTGGAAAACACTGGATACTCTATTCCCCATCTCAATTTTGCCCATACATTCTTTGGTCAACACTTTTTAAATGTAGTTGCCAGCACTCTGCACTATTTTTGGTCAGTCACAGCTTCAATGTTTAGGTGCTTGTTTACACTAGCTGAAGGGGAGTATGGGGATTATATCACTCACTAATGAGAAGAAAGACCGTTAAGCACAGGAAAGGATTCAATCCGAATAGCATCATGATTCAAGAATATTATTTTCTAGATGGCTGAGTTGTGCAAGACAATTTTTTTTCAGTACAAATTACCAGATTATTTCATCTACACACACACAAAAAAAGAAGCTAACACCCACACAGAAAGGGAAAATGCCTTTTAAATCATAAATATTTTTTTTTACACAGAGCTAACTTACATGTCACCAACAAAAAACTTATTGCAGCATTAAATAGATGACTTACCTGCTTTTCTTTGACTCTCTCGTGAGGCCTGGGGAAGCTCCTTCCCCACTGCATCTGCACATGCCAGTCCTGGCCAGGCCTGTCTGCCACTGACTCAGAGAATGAGCGGGAGGAAACACCACCCTCGAAGCTGGCACGATTCAGTCTGCTCAGCTGATATGGCAGAAAGCCATGGAGAAGGGAATTTGCAGTATTTCAACATGCTTTAAATTGTTTAAACACCTTACCTAGTCAGGTCAAGTACTAGGTGTACAGAGACACAGTGTAAAGCCTTTTCAAGAGGAAGACGAACCTCGCAGTTGAGATGAGCTGTGACTTCAGGTAAGGAGTTGTTGAATTTTACTGTAGTGCCTGGGTTCAACATCATTCTTGCAGACCTCTAAGATGTTTAGGACAAGCTAGAGATTCTCAGTGCTGTATTCCACTTTTCTCACACTCTACTTTCTGAGAAACTTACCTCTTACTAGTAACATACTTCAAACTTGGCTCATGACCTACCATAAGTATATTAACAAGGGGACTACACAGCTTCAAGGGAGGCAATATGGGATGCAGATTTCATATTTAGTTGATCCTTTACAGCTGCACAGGGGCTACATGATTAATGTACCCCATGTTTTGGAGTTGTCTGGAGCCCAAAGCATAAAGCCATTTTCATAATGGCCGTGCCTTAACTTTATACTCTGAAAAGTGCAGAAAACATAATGGATCCATAATGTGAGCTTCCTTGCTAATGTAGCTGCCAGAACAATGATTTTTCTCTTATTCATTTGCAGAGCCAGGTAGTTCAAACATCAGTTAGAACTACTTGCCATTGATTCTGGCCATCATAATTTTAGGGAGAAATTTAGCAGAGAAAAGCATAACACATTTGCACCCTAGTCACATAAATAATCTTGGATGATCCAAGTACTTTAACTCTGTGCTTTCACAAGGAAATCCAGATCAAAAGTAGTGCTTTTTCCTTAAATATCCTTTATGTAGGTTAAGAAGTGAATCTATTTAGACAGTAATTAACATTTGGATATGTCCATATGCCACAAGATGAAGCTTCTAAAGCATTAAATGAATCTTTTCCATCAACCATGACAAAGGTTTATTAGAATAATTACACCATTTACAAAGTTCATGCAGGATATCACCTGCAAATACAACTCCCTTCAAAAACTGGGAAAGAATTGATCTGATTTCAGTGGAACGCCGTAAGATGACATAGCAGAGGTACTAATTTTTTCTTGCCCACAGCTTGCCCGTCCTCCTTTTCAGCATGCTGAGGAAAACCAACTTCCTGGCTGACACCATGGTATATGTCTGAAGACTGGAAGTCCTCATTTGCATTTGCCTATGCATTCATTTTGTTGTCAATCTAAATACTACTGGTCTTCCAGGTGTTAAAACTCTGTGTTGAATATTCTTTTATAAAATCTAACCTTCCGGCACTCTTATTTTTTGTCAGCTCACAAATTTCTCACATTCCATATCATAATTAGAGTTGTTTTCTGAAGAGTACATCTTTAATTAGCAGTAGCTCCTTAAATATACATAATATGATTATTATGTTGATTAAAACCACAGCAGAAATCCTTGGGAAGTGGCACTTGCTTTCTCTGTCTTTTCAGAAAAATTATTTGTCATTTGAGACTATGCAGATGGCTTCCTGACAGAGAAATCTAGATTAATTTACTAGTCAGATTAAAAAAATCAAAACTGTAACAACACCAGCAACTTTTCTGTACATCTCTTACAACTTTATTTTTTTTTTTTGGCATGTATTAAAGCTTTCAAGAAAAGCCACTGGAATAACAACTCAAACCCTATTTAGTTTCAATGCAAATTCCAAAATTCTGTCAAAAGGCTTCTCTTCAGCAGCAAGCTTTAGCTAGAGTATCACACATTAAAGAACTGTCGATGAACTGAAAGGGAAAACATGCTGCCAAATATTGAAGTATAAGAAAATATTAGTGCCTTAAATAAGTGCCAAATTAATGATAAGCAATTTTTATATCTACAAGAAGGACTATAAATAACATTACCTGTTAGCAGGTCAGTTGTCATCATT